ATTAGACATTTTTTATGCATTTTTTATGTTAGGTGCCATCGATCTGACATAGAAAGTGGCACAGTGACATACTTGTAAATATACCAAAACATTCTATGATGAGTGTTGATTTACTAGTCATAAAATGTTCTGTCTATGATGGGTATTGACTTACTTGTCATCAAATGTTCTTTTTATAATGGGTAAGTCAACACTCGTCATAGAATGTGATGAGATTCCACTTGGAATTCTCATGAATACTTCAAGCTTCTCGGAATTCCTTGGAAGAACTTCAAGGAACATGACTCCAAAGAAGCTTCAATGTGACCTAGGCTTGCGGATAGCCAAGTGCGGAGGAGAATTAAGAGGTCCTAGCTCTACAAGGAGAAGCTCTAAAGTAGGGTAGAGTCTAGGAGAGTGGTGACTTCGGAGAAGGAGTATTCTAAGAGAGGAAAACTCATTCAATATCCAAAGTAGTACAAGTTTCGGTCATAAGGATTATATAGGGAAAAATTAGGTCAAGGTAACCATGGGTTAGCCTAAGGTTAAGTGAAACCATGGTAGGGTTCACTTAACCTTAGGCGCCCAAAATTTGAATTCAAAATTCAAATTTTGGAGCCTAAACCCGGATCACCCATGCACAATGCATTTGGAATGTCATTAGACTTCCATTTGAGTTGCATTTCGGATCACACCATGTGCATGTGTTGAACATGGCCGAAATGCACACCAAATGTGAATCTAATTACATTCTAATGCAACTACACATGCAACCTAAATAACCCTAAATTCAAATGACCTTCAAATGAAATCCTAAGCTAAATGGCCGTGAATACAAGGCCCAAGAAAATACAAGGCTCTAAGGTCCAACCCTACACTACAAAATATAAGAACAACAAGATAGGCCCATGTACAACTCCGCTTTGGACCATCCAAGCCTATTGGGCCTATTGGGCCTTGACTGACCCAAGTCTTCAAGTTTAGCCAACTCCTCTTGGCTCTTTTAAGATGTCTCCTCTTGCCTTCTTAATCATGATTCCATCATCCCCTCCCTCTTGAAAAGGATTTGTCCTCAAATCTCGAGGATGCATGGAAAAAGGAGTAGTACCTACAATCACAACAGGCCATGTATATAATTGAAAATGTTCAAGATAAGAAAATGAGTGAAAAATCCTAAGAGGAATCTCTCTAGCTATTCCAATAAATAAAAATAAACTATCAAACTGATACTCCCTAAAATTAGAAATAGGATCCTCTTCCAAACATAACCTTGAATGAAATCCTAAAAATGTAGTGACACTATGACTAAGACAATGAAAAGAATGATTCTTAAAAACTACAACATCTTGCCTAAAGTACCCTAAATGGTAGCCTAGGCATTTTCTAGAATATAAAGAAAAGATGACGAAAAAATTTCCTAAACAATTTTGGATTTGATTGCTTATTAGATACTCATAATCATATAAGCTATATTTGTCTTGTAGGGAAGTAAGCAACTTAAGATCAAAAGAGTAAGAATTTCCCTTAAAAGCAAACATAGAATATAAATGATTACAAGAGGTATCTACAAACTTCCAAGGATCCGAGAAGAATTGAAGAGCATTCCTTGAGGCTTCTTCAAGTAGGACCTCATCAAAAAGTCTCCAAAGAACCTACACTAAATACACAATAGAATATTCTGTAAAAAGAAAACAAAGTGCCTTACAAATACAAAGGCAAAATAAACCTATACAAGTAACTTCTATGTACAGAATCATATGAAAGGTCTTTAAAATCATCTCATTCCTCTTGGTTCTTTTAATGTATCACCTCTTGGTCTTCTTGGCCTTGGCATGTTTCCATCATCCCCTCCCTCTTGAAAAGGATTTGTCCTCAAATCTTGAGAGTCTTCATGATGAACATCAATACCTACAAATATATAATACCATTCATGAGAGGTGACATTGTCAATTAACAAATGTGGAAGGAATATCCTTAGAGGAATCCTTTCATAGAACCTAGTAAAGAAATTAATGACACTAGACCTTCTAAAGTAATGAATAGGATCCTCTCCTAAACAAAGTCTAAGTATGTTACTAAACCCTAAGAATATGCTAAAACTAAGACTATAACATCCTAAAGAATTAATGCTAACAACTAAAACATCTTGCCTAAAGTACCCTATGTAGTGACTTAGGCATTTCCTAGAAAATAAGGAAAATACTACTAAAAAATTTCCTAAGCAATTTTGGAGTATATTATTTTTTGGATAGTTATGAGAAGAGAGTGTCAAAAGGAGCCTTGAAGGCTCATATGTTGTATCCATCAAAAAATTTAATCCAAGAATTGGGTGCTTTATTAGAATAACTAATGTAGGAGTCCTACAGAAAGGAAGGCTATTTACCTTGGGCACCACCAAGGAAGTAGCTCAAAAAGTGAAACTAAGTGAAGTCCACTTCTTCTTCACTAAATCTTGAAGTTGAGATTCTTTTTCTTTAGAAATAATTGATTTGTGAATCTCCACTTCATGACTAGTGGCAGCATGAGGGCAAGAGTTAAGGTCTTTATGAATGAAGAGAATATTTTTCATAGAATTTTTAGTGATAAAACAATTCTCTTTACTTATAAATTCCTTAGAGGATACATCTTCCTTTTTACTCTTCCCTAAACAAAATGATTTCTTTTTTCTTTGTCTTCTTTTCTTTTGATTTTCATTTGTGCTTGATCCTCAGCCACTTGTTGAGGCGAGAGAGGATAAAGCACGAATCTCTTTTCCTTATGTGTGAAGGTAATTTCATTAGTAAGACCATTGTGTATAGTTTTCTTTTCAAATTTCCAAGGTCGCCCTAACAAAATATGACAAGCTTCCATTGGTACTATATCACATAAAACTTGGTCTTCATACTTCCCAATGCAAAACTTGACCTTCACTTGTTGACTAACTACTATGTCTCCATCCTTATTGAGCCATTGTAAATGATAAGGTTGAGGATGTGGCATAGTAATTAATCTCAAATTTTTTAACCAACCTAGTGCTACAATAGTTGCACCATGATCCACTATCTACAATGAGAGAACATGTTTTATTTAAAACATTACATCTAGTATGAAAAATGCTCTCTCTTTGAGATAGAGTACCACTAGGTTGACTATTAAGGAGTCTCCTAAGAATTAGAAGTTCTCCCTCATAAGGATAAATTGACTCCACATTGGACACTTGTTGTCTTGTTTCATCCTCACTCTCACTTGAAGAGGAGGTTGTAACGACCCACCCTAGGCCGTCACATCTAGAACCAAACAAAGATAAATAATATATATAAAAGAAAATAAAATAAGAGCCAGCTACGCTAGAGTGTAAATCTACAATAACATATAAAATTGTTTCTAAAATATATAACATAATTTTATAGTAGAGTCATCCTCAGTAAGGTTATACAGTAATCCAAAAAGGTAATATAATTACAACGTCATGAAGACATCAAAACAAGACACCCTAGGTGCTGGTCAAGCTCTAAACCTAGCCACTTCTCAAAACAGCTATCCAAAAGACTCCTTGCTATCCCAAGGCCTCACACCTGATCTGCTCCCCCACATAGTGAGATCATCACAGTCCACATCATGGAAATATAAGGGTTAGCACATATAAAACCAATCATAGTACATCATAATAAAATATCATTAAACAGATATTTATCCACAGTATTTATCCAGACCAACAAGTCATTTTCAAGCTAAATATAGACCAACCCAAAATATAATGTATACACGTCCATGCCAATGTATACATATTTTATGATAATAAAATAATCCATAACCAATGTATACAATCCATACCATATGTATACATATTCCATATCCAAAACAAAGTCACACCACTGTATAATCCATGATGTAACCAACACATCCAAACCAAATGTTGGCCTCAACACCATCCAAACCAAGTGTTGATACGGTGAAACATGTCAGCAACCCATGTCCCACGCCTAACCTCTCATGGAAAATATACAGTTGGATTACGTCGTCACGTAACCCTGGTGGGGCCACCTCATCCATCGGTATGACTCGGCCTAGACCCATACCGGTAGCCAATAGAATACTTAGAGGAGTACTTCAGAATTCACCTAACATCTGAAGTGGTTTATTATAACCTTTGGAAAAGTTCCACATTGGAATCCTCACCATGGGATTCACCAAGAGATCTAATCCATACCATAACCTTACTCCTCTAAGTCCTATTTACTTTTCCAAACCACATACACATAGCATATTCCATAATATATATAAACATAACCATAACCATGCCAAATTGTCAATATAATAATAATATAAATAATTAAATATCCATAACAACCATCAATTGATCCAAATTATACTATGTTAAATGAAAATCCCCACATAAAATAGCATATTAAAATTATACTATTCCTATCATGCTCATATGTACTAGATTAAGTCTTATAAGTACTACCCTTACTTGGATAAACCTGAACCAAAACTCGGGCAGAACCTCCTCCTCTTCCTTAAACAAGAACCGAAACTCGGGCAGAATCTCCTCCTCCCCCTCCTCTTTTCTCTCCCCTGGCAGAACCTTCTCCACTGGATTCCTCTTCCTTTCTTTCCCCTCCTCTCCCTTTTTCTCTCTCTCTCTCCTCTTTCTCTCTCTAGAACCTTCTCTCTCAATACCGCTTTTCCAACACCCCCAACCCCCTATTTATAGGGTTCTGCCTGCCTAACCCGGAACGACCCGTTCCAAAACCAGAACGGCCCGTTCTGATACTCATTCAGAACAGCCCGTTCTCCCTCCGGAAAGGCCCCTGCTCCTTCTAGAATGGCCCGTTCTCCTTGTTGGAACGGCCCGTTCTGGACCCGTCCCAACTTAAAATTTAGTGTCTTTTTATTGCTTGGAACGGCCCGTTCCAATTTTGGAACAGCCCGTTCCAAGTTACCCATTTACCCCTCTAACTTTAATAAAATTGCGAAAATGCCATTAATAAAAATTACAAAAATACCCCTTTTAAAAAAATGAATATTACAATTCTCCCCAACAACAAAAATTTTCGTCCTCGAAAATTCACTTACTTAAAAAGAGATATGGGTATTGATCCTTCATCCTATCCTCCAACTCCCAAGTGGCTTCATTAGTAACCTCATCCCAAATAACCTTCACCAAATTGATAGATTTACCTCGCAATTGTTTAACTTTCTTATCTGCCACTGAAACTGGCTGTTTCTCAAAAGTTAAATTCTCCTTAACTTGCACTGCCTCTGATTCCAGGACATGGCTCGGATCGTGAATATACTTCCTCAATTGTGAAACATGAAACACATCATGCAGATTAGACAGAAATGGAGGTAATGCAATCTGATATGCCACTGGTCCAATCCTCTTGAGAATTTGATACGGCCCAATAAACTTAGGATTCAACTTCTTAGCTTTGATAGCTCTTCCCACACCTGTGGTAGGAGTTACCTTCAAAAACACATGTTCTCCCTCTGAAAACTCCAAAGGTTTCCTCCTCTTGTATGCATAAGACTTTTGCCGACTCTGAGCAGCTCTCATTCTTTCCTGAATTTGTTTCACCTTTTCAGTAGTCTGTAAGATGATCTCTGGCCCCACCATCACTGATTCTCCCTCTTTAAACCAACACAAAGGTGTTCGACACTTTCTCCCATACAGAGCCTCAAAAGGTGCCATTCCTATACTTGCATGAAAACTATTATTATAAGTGAACTCGACCAAAGGCAACATCTCTTCCCAACTCCCTAGATGATCCAAAATACAAGCCCTCAACAAATCCTCCAAAGATTGGATAGTCCTCTCAGACTGCCCATCAGTTTGTGGGTGGTATGCAGAACTAAGTCTCAACTTAGTCCCTTACACCTGATGCAAACTCTGCCAAAATCGAGAAGGAAAACGAGGATCCCTATCATAAATGATACTGGAGGGCACACCATGTAATCTAACAATCTCCTTAATATACAACTGAGTTAACTTTTCCAAGGACCACTTTATATTCACTGGAAGGAAATGAGCACACTTAGTTAATCTATCCACGATCACCCAAATAGAATCACAATTCTTAGCAAACCTTATTAACTTAATAAGTTATTTTAAAATATAAAAAAAATTCCTACTAAAATCGTTAAATTAACTTAAAGTTAATTCATTTAAGCTTTTATGAGACATTGATTTAATTAATTATAAAGGAGAAAGGTTCTTTTTGATGAAAGAAGTTTGAAAAGCAATTTTTTATGCAAGGTTAAGACTAAGTACTTGGAGGACTAAGTATACAAATTGAACTTTGGAGGGAGGTGAGCTACTAAGAGCCACTTAATAACCAAGCCTCTTCAAGTAAAAATTACTAATCCTCTTTGTAGTTAATCTCTACCAAATTCTTTTTCAATGAAAATTACTTTTGATGATTGGTGATCTATGATATGCTAGACGAATGAAAGCAATTAAAACAAGTATTTAAAGCAAAAATTAAACTACCTAGACGTGTTCTAGGGTGAGAGCTTGAGAGATCCCAAAGATCAATCAAGGACCACTCTCACCAAGTACTAACGAAAATGATCACCTAAGGAGAGATGGTTGTGTACCAAAGACACACCCAAGACACTCCTTCAAATGGCTTAAAACGATTACAACCCATTTGAAATTGAAATTTTAAAAACTAGAAATTTAAACTTCCTAATTAAAAACAAAACACTAATCACTCTGAGTCCTCAGGCATTCCAAGATGAGCTTTAAGTCGGTTAATTTCATGATCAAGGCTATCAAACCGATCAATAATACCCGAATATATTGACTCGTGCCTTCTAGACATCTCCATTGAATACCCACTTATCTTCCTGTTTTAGCATCCCCATGTGATGCAAGGAAGATTTCTCAATTTTGTTAGAGGCATGGAGAATAATCTTTTTCTCCCCTGTCAATTCTACCCCTGCATTCTCAAAAATCTTAGATAACAATAAGGCATAAGGAATTGGACCATTCTCTTTCCTTCTCGCCTTCCACATGCAATCATTCACCACCGACACCCAATCAATCTTAATTTTCTTTTTAATAACATGCATTAACAAAATGTCATCCCTTGACATTTGAGCATGGTTGTGCAAACGCGGTTTAATCATCCATGCAATAATGAAAGAAATTAAATGGGAATTTTTCTTCATACCTCCCGCCAAGAATTTGTTGTAGTTGGTGTTCTCAGGATTTCTCTGACAGTCTCTGAAGGTTGTCAGTTCCTCAAAATCACCAAAGTTGAAGGGTTGGGGTTTGGTACTCCCATTGCCGCTCAGCCCGGAAGCCGCCTTCAAGGTTGGTCTGTCAAGCTTTATCAACTTTCCCTTCACAACTGATTGCATTATCCCTTCATTGTTGGTAGCAAAGCAGAGAAATAGCCTGATCAGCTCAGGGTAGTAGGGTCCTTCCAGTTCCAAGAACTTCCCAAGGTCTTGGTGCTCTAGCAGAGTAGGGAAGCTAAACCCTTCATTTTTGAACCATTCCAACTTCAGGGTTTTGGGAGGGATGATTCTCTAACCCACATACCACTCGAAGTAATACTCCTGGGTTTTCTCATCCGCAAACCACTTGGAAATTAGTTTCTCTGAGGGCAGAGGAAGCTTGCTCCCCCTCACTTATAGCTTCTTTGGGCTTTTTGAAGATAGATCGGTGATCCATCAAATCATCTATCCTAGGCAATGGATACTTATTATTGATTGTCAATTTATTTAACTGTCTGTAGTCCACACATAACCTGACGCCACCATCCTTCTTCTTTACCAATATCACTGGTGCTCCCCACGGAGATACACTAGGTCTGATCATTTGCTTATTTAAAAGCTCTTCAACCTGCTTCTTCAATTCAGATAACTCCGCTGGTGCCATTCTATAAGGAGAAATAGACACTGGTCCCGCCCCTGGTATAAGATCAATACTAAACTCCAACTCTCGCTTTGGTGGTAACCCCGGAACATCATCCGGAAAAACCTCTGGGAATTCTCTAATAACATCAATACTATTCAACAACTTTTCTTTCTCTATACTAATAAAAGATAGGATCATAAACCCAAGAGCTCCACCCTTCAACAACCCATCCACCTGTCCACTAGAAATAAATCTCTCCTGTTCAACAGTAGGAATGATTAATCTCTTTTCTGAACAATCTATCAAAATCCTACTGGGGGTTGAACTATGAGTTTGGCAGCTATGTCTACTACAGTGCTTGTGGTGTAATTTTTCTTCTTTCTCCTTTAATAAATAAATCTCCTCCTCCAAAAGAGCAAGTTGAGCCTCTCTTTCAAGTTTTTCTTTGAGTCTTTGTTTGGACTCTTGCTCTTTCTAAATCTTAAGTGATCTTAATTCATGTGCTACTTTTGACATGTCATTGTAATCACTTGAATTACTATCACTTTGAGGAGTAGAAAATTCTTCCATTATAGGAGAAAGGTTCTTTTTGATGAAAGAAGTTTGAAAAGCAATTTTTTATGCAAGGTTAAGACTAAGTACTTGGAGGACTAAGTATACAAATTGAACTTTGGAGGGAGGTGAGCTACTAAGAGCCACTTAATAACCAAGCCTCTTCAAGTAAAAATTACTAATCCCCTTTGTAGTTAATCTCTACCAAATTCTTTT